ACCGTTGTAACAGGCGTTGGAGGTATGTGCTTCTGTCGATCTGTCTATTTGTCTGCCTATCTGATGTCGATCTGGCTTCTTTTCTCTTTTCTTCTTTTTTGAGTTGGGTAAACAAACACCAAAACTAAGTTATTGGCTTCAAAGTTATCCAAAAATTTTTGAAATTCATGCCTGCAAAGCGAACTAGTTCGACTAAAGGAGTCATCTACACTAAAATGTAGGCGTAGAACACCTCCGCCTTCTGAATTCACAAACTGCAACTGATAAAACGATAACAGTTATACGACCTGCACTTTTGCAGTTGATCTTAAAATTGATGAAGAAAAATGGAAAATGGGCGTCTAAGCCCGCCCAACGTACTAGATAGTGGTAAGGGACATTTTATCTTTTTCGAGATTTTTCCTATAAAGATGGCGAATGTGAAAGATTCGTCTACAGACTTTTTTCAATCAATTTCACGCTTAACTAAATGAGAGAAATCTGAATTGGAAAATTTCAAGTCATTGCAGAAAAGTATCGAAGAACATTTCCTGCCGCTGCAAAGCGGACAGACATTTTCGTATGATATACGGCGATGAGGAAGAAATGAAACATTCTCCTCAAGTCAGGGGATAATTACGATAGAGAAGAAAAGAGAAGAAGAAAGAAGAGAGAAAGAGAAAGAGAGAGAGAGAGAGAGTATTAATAATAACTAAGGATCACTATCTGATTATTTTTTTGTATCGTTCTATGATGTAATGTTTTTATGTATTTGTGTTATTTAGTTTTTAATTTGAATTTTTTAAATGTGATATACGACTGACTGACTGTCTTTGTATTGAAGTTAATGATTCTGTCTAATGAAAACGAATACGAATGCAAAAGCGAATGACAGGATATTTAGTATTGTTAGCTGACATTTAGAACAGAGGACTTGTTTATCATAAAAATCAGCTCTACTAAATTTTATTATTGTGTACTTGACTAAGGTAACTCGGCAGTTTAAAAAAAAAAGTCTTTTCAACAACATATCACAAAGGGATGATTCAATTGAAAAAAAAAAAAGAAGAAAAGCAAACTCCACTGTGAGGTTAAAATGTTCTTAGATGTCTTTCTCCTTCTTTAGCGTTACGAATCTTACGTTTTTTGCGAAATTTTTCTTATTTTTCATAAAAGAGTTTTATTAACTTTTGATATTACAAGCAAGCAAACAATGTGTTGGAATGGAATTGACAAAAAAAAAAAAAGAAGGCGAAAAGGTTCAACAATCGCACCTAATATGCTTCATTATTGTTCACATAAAGATGCGCTAGATGCGGAGCTTTTTGACAATCTGTTCGAAACGCGTGTTGCGCATTACGAAATCCCGAAGTCGAAGTTTTTTCTTAGGTATTTTTATTTTTTATTTTTAAAAAAACTAAAATTTATATCAACTTTCTCTTATTAATCAGTCAATGTAACGACTATCTATTGCAGTTCGAAGGGCGAAAAGAATTGCTTTCAATTTTGATTCAAATAAAAGATTCATCTAGAACGAGTGCAAATTTATGAAAATGCCACCAATGGGTATTTTCGAGCGCATTGCTACGAAACGAAAAGATTCGTAAGTACCGAAACTTTATTCATTTTATTTAATTCTATTTATGACACGAACGAACGCTTAGCTTTGCACGACTTGAGAATTGAGACTTTAAACCAAAGGTTTTATCGAAAATCCTTAGAAGATGGGAAACAGAACAGAGAACAGAACTATGCGCCTGCATATATGTAAAAGAATTTCGCTAACCCTGAACCCAACAAACTTCGCATTCAAATGAGAGAAATGATTATAACTTAATCGATTTCGCTCCGCATTGCTATAAAGTAAAGAAGAAAAGCCGTTGGAAAATGTGTGCATAGAGAGAAGACTGTAGGCAAATGGTTGTGTTGTTATATGTAGATTTGAATTTGTAAACTCGTAAAGCCGCTGAAGTCGATCAATGAACTTAAGTCTTTAAGTGATTCAGCTCGATATTTGACGACCATAAAGATTGGATACAATCTCGACATAAGTCATTTGAAAGTGTTTTCAAAAATATATTGATTTAGTAATTTGCCAAATGCTTCGTGGAAACGTGTACGCAAAAATTTAACGTACTTCCTTTCACAAACGAAAAGCAAAATGAAGAAGAAGAACACTACAATGCTGAAAATTTCGTAGAGCTCTTCATAGCTAACTTGATCTCAAACAATCGTTGTACTCGCATCTATCAAATTTGAAAGTGAAGTTCTCTTACTCAACTCTTGATGATTGCAGCTAATTGATAATGAAATATATGTAAGCTGTAATGTTTACATTCTAAGGATTGCATTTTCAACCATCCAATGAAGAAAAGGTAAATGCATGAGGTTAGCCCTACACATTAAACTTAAAGAATACTTTTTACTCATCGTTGCTCATCGTTGATGAAGAAGGTCGCACTAGAGCCTTGAATTTTTTTTTATGCTTGAAGTATAAGTTATTTGGTTTTTTTTTTTTTTTTTCTTTTGATGAGCGTCTGTTAACATTGAAAGCGTACCAATTTAGGTTTTATTTGGTAATAACGAGAGGACTCATAAGAAATATATAAGTTTGACTGCCGTCGTCCTTGGAAAGCGTTTTCGTAATCGAGAAGGAATTTAACAACAATTTCCCCCGTTCTCGCTAATATGGTGAATATGTTAAAGGCCAGCGCTTGCTGGATATGATGTTCTGTTTTGGTTAAATGTCGGCGGAAAAGCATTAATAATAAGTCACATTACCACATCTATAAGTTGCAACCGCGACAGATATGATTCATTATCTCGAAGATTGCCTTTTTAAAGATGACTCGATTGATGAATGGATTTAGGATGCAGCTAACCGGCATTTCAGCTTTGATAGCACAGCACTTAATTAAAACCTTGATTGCATTCCTCAATTTCGGATCGGATCGGATGAAATTTTCTCAACGTTATAGAACTAATTGTATGTATGTCAATTTATAGGTAAGACATGAAGGCGCCGTTTGAAACGCTATGAAAAAAGAATGAAGGAAATCGATGTTTTTCGTAAGGCAAATAGCAGGCGATGGAGCAATGGTCATTAATTAAGGCCAAATCAGCCTTCGTAGAGTAAGTATTTTTATGTGCACGAAAATAGCCATAAAAATTTTCAATGTAACATTATCTTTACCGTTATTGTGTTAAGCATTTCCACGAGCAGGTAAATAGATACTGAGAAGAAATTGCCGAAAATGGCGCGCGTAAATCATTGCAAGAGAATTTTAAACTTTAGGATAATAAAACGTGTAGGCTCTTTTGTCGTTAGAACGGCAGTTACTTACTTATAAACTGATACACATATTATTTGCTTAGAATCTGAAGATGTAGGACGAGTGCGATGCGATAATCTAGAGGAATTTTGCAACCAGTTCTTCTTGACAACATTGAAGATTCCAGTTTAAAGGGAAGGCACTGAAAGCAGAAAGATAAGGGAACAATTGCGCTGTTGAGGACATTGAAAGGGAAACAGGAAATATTTCTCCAAGGAATATAAAGTTCTATCTACATATTTAGATTAATGGAAGCTAAATGAAAGCTCGCTAGATTAGGTTTTCAGACGAATTGGACAGACCCACAGATGAGGGCAATATTAAGCGGAAAAATATAAAATACGGCAGATGTTGTGACAACATGCAAACAATTTGACCAAATATTTACATAGATGCATTCAAAGGTTCGAGAAGAGTGAGATGGTGGCTTGATGTTAAGAAAAAAATTGAAATTTTTAGATATCTCTGTATGATGCGAGAGAAGTATTAAAAGGGCTGCCTGAATTTCACTGACTTGATAGCTGAGAGCTGAGCTCTTTCTTAACCTTTTACCTTTAAGAGTTTCTTTTATATTGTTGCTTCAATTTTACCCGATCAATGTTTTTCCTTTTATAAACTTTTCTTCGCGATGATATTCTCACACAAAAAAATCGTTTTGTCTAAATTTACAACACGCGAGAATATGAATTATTTATTGTTTACTTTTTTCATTTATATTTAGCCTTTTCGAGGTTTTTTTTGATTGTCTAAAAAATAAGGAAACACATGAGATTGCTTTAAAAATTATTAATATTTTGTTTTGTTGTTGTTGTTGTTGTTTTTTTTATTTTTATTTTTATTTTTTTTTAATGTTCGGTGTTCTTGATGCCTTTGTATTTACCGTTCTATTTTATTTTTTCTTACAATTCATTTTAATTTTAGTTTTTTAAAAAAAAAAAATTTGTTTCATATTTAAAATCTTGTTCAATTTATATTTCTTTTTCTTAGTTTTATTTAATTATTCATATTTCTCTCTTTCCTTTAACGTCTTTTGAGCTTTTGTTCTTAACTTCGTAGTTGTTTAATTTACTTTTTTTTCGTAACTGGTCTCGTTATCGTTGTTTAAATATTTCTTAAATTCATTTTATTTTATTTTCTAATTATTACTAGCATTTTTTTCATTTATTTATTTATTTATTTTTTTTTTTTTTTTAAAGGAAAAAAATTCTATAAAGGTTATTATTAATAAAAGCAGCCTTGATTTTATCTTGTTATTAAATTCAACTAAGTTATGTTTTTTTTCTTAATTTTTTTTTTTTTTTTTTTCTTTACTTGAAATTGATTTTTTATTTTATTTTTGTTTATATATATATATTTAAATTATTTTTTCCTTTTTTTAATTTTTTAGTTTTTAGTTTTTAGTTTTTGTTAACTTTAAACTATTAAATACCACATAAAGCACTACTACTTAAACACATGGAATGAGTTTAAATTTGAATTAGAAAGCTGGATTATAATTAAAGATAACTCTCGGTTAGTTACTATGCTTTATAAACCGTTGCTTGATTTTTGGATTTCTTCTTTTGTTTTTATATATTTTTTTATACACAAACAGCTCGCACTAACATTTAAATTTAAATTTGACTAAAAACATATAATTATTTTTAACTAGTTTTCTATTTATTTATTTATTTATTTATTTTTTTTTTTTTTAGGAATTATGAAGTGACAAACTTTTAAGGAATTCTTTTTTCAATTTTAATTTTTACGCTTTAATAAATTTCACTAAGACTTTGATACCGAAAGAAAAAGGAGAAAAAAAAAAAAAAAACAGGAGAAAATATATTTCGTTAGAGAGTCTGAATAATATAAGACGAATAAAAATTGAGGCAACACTTTTGTTTGTTTACATATATATATATATATATATTTATGTACATATATGTATATATATTTATGTATATATATATGTATATATATTTATGTGTATATATATATATATATTTATGTACACATATGTATATATATTTATGTATATATATATGTATATATATTTATGTGTATATATATATATATATTTATGTATATATATATATGTATATATATATATATATGCGTTTACATATACATACACTCATGTATGAATTTTTTACTGATTTGCTGATTAGTTTTCATTTCATTATTTAACGATATAATGCATTCTTCATTATTATTTTTGTTGTTGTTATTTTTGTTCTTTTTATTCTTATTGTTGCTACTGATGTTTTTGTTGTTGTTGTTGCTATTGCTATAGCTGTTATTATTGTTATTATTATTATTCTTAGAGTTTTTAAATGGTTAATCGATTTGCATTGAAATTATTAATAAATTCTGTTTGAGAAAGAAAAAAAAATGGTTTTCTTTTGGTTTTTTATTTTATTTTTTATTTTTATTTTTTTTTTTAACAGCAATGACGGATTTATTGATGGACAGGTTTTTTGTTTCTTTTACTCGTAATAAATTTTAGAAAATAATTGCTCTCTCTTTAGGCATGGTTTTCTCCTAGTTAACTAATACAACAACATTTGTAATAATAACAAATTTCAAGTGTCTTATTTTCTTTTCCGCTTTAAACTATTTTATGTGTTAGACCATATCGAAGCACATTTTCGATAAAACTGATAATGATGATAATAATAATAATAATAATAATAATAATAATAATAATAATAATAATAGTATTAATAATAATAACTAGCCAAATATTTCAGTTTCTTTTTTACGAAATTTTAAACACAACGAATTGTTGAATACACTTTAAACGGTATATTTGAAGCGATGTACATGTGCTTACGTACGTACACATATAACTACACGTGTATACGTTGTTAGTTAATGAATATGGCATTTACTTCCGGCTTACAATTTATTATTTTGTTACTCCAGTCAGCGAGCTAGGTGCATAGCTAGCCAGTAAGTCAATGAGTTAGCGGCAGCCTGTTAGGTTAAATACTGACAGTAAAGGTAGCAAATAGAAATTTAGTTCGGTTGATTTTATAGTTAGTTTAACTCTTTCAATTGCTCACTTTTACTTAACTCGTTGTTAATACTGACGTTAACAATAGCAGTAGTAATAATAATAATGAATAACTATGAGAATAATAATACCGTTAACGCGTATAAGCTGGTAAACGCTGGTTACCTCTTGTATTGTGTGACTGCCTATCAACTACTAACTTTTGATGGCTGTTGTAAATTTGTTTTCCTTTTTTTTTCTTTTTTGTTTTTTTTTTTTTTGCTACTAGTTTCAATATGGCAAACACAGCATGCAAACACAGACACACACACACACACACTCACAGTGACACACACGGTTTGAAATGGAGATAAAAAGAGCAGAATTTTTTTTTTTTGTTTTTTTTTTTTTTTTTTGTTTTTCGCGTTGGTTGCGAGTTGCGTGTTCAATTTGTCTTGACAATCGTTATGCGAATGGTAATCGAGATTTTACATTGACTAAGGTTTACCGCCGTTTATATGCCGAATACTGTATAACACTAACACAGCAAGTGTCTGCATAATGTGGAGACTTGCGTTGTGCTTTACGTGCAGTGTGTGCAGACATTGACTGCACTCTTGCTCATAACATCTCATAATTATTTAAAAAGAATGAAAGAAAGAAAAAAAAAAAGAAGGAAATTTTAAAAAAATATAAGCAAAAAATTAAACTCGTGCAACAGCATAATTGTTCGTTTTCGAAAGCCGGCATTTTAGAGTCTCGTTTTTAAGCAACGCGCATGACTTCTCCAAAACTATTGAGTTAAGTTTACAGAGATTTTTTTGTTTCTTTCTTTCTTTTTTTTTTTTTTATTCTTCTTCTTTTCCATGATTGCTGACGAGACATGCGCGTGCTTTAAATAAGAACCGGAAGTTCTTATTGTTCAGCCGCAACAAAAATACTAACAACAACAACAACAACAACAAGCACAATTATAAAAGCAGCTGTTGCAAAAATCTTGTTGATGACGACAGAATTTTTCTTAAAAATATATCTTTTTATCCGGTATTTGAAATTCCACTGTCAAAGCATCTCTACTATAAATAAATTATAACAGCAGCAGCAGCAGCAGCAGCAGCAATAGTAGTAGCAACAACAACAACAAAAAAAAAACAAAAATTTAAACTTTTCAAAAAGAGTTAAGTAGTAGAAGTATATTCGCATAATCTCATCGAGAGGCATTTGCTTGGAATTCTTGACCTGAGACACAATTCGGTCTCTTGAGGTATATGTATAAATCTTTAGCTTTAGTTAAATGTCATTTAGTCTAGTTATTTTAAAAAAATCCACAAATTCGTAAAATTATTTTGCGTCACCTAAATCTTTAGTTGACTGACTCCGGCATTCAATGCTGGCTATGATGGGAGAATATGTATTAAGTCAACGTTCAATATATTTGTAGAAGCGCAGAAACTTGAACGACTCTATCACATTTGCCGAACAAACGGAACATTATCACAATTTATTGCTGCTGCTCTTGTAATTAACAACAGCTCAAGTCAAGGGAAATCGTTGAGTGTACGCTTTTGATAGTAGTTAAAATTTAATTAATTCTCTCTTGTGGAGAGTACAGATGAAAGTCAATCTCTTACCAAACTTAAGATGCGTTCTCTCAATCACTTATTTTGTCCTTCTCTTTTGCTTTTTTTTTTTTTTTTTTTTTTATATAATAATTATTTTCTGCAACGAGAAAGCTGTAGAAAATCGATCTCTTTCTTGCGTACAATCTCAAGCTAAATTGATCTCTTGACAGGCGGCTGTTTACGGAAGAACCGGCGAAAATGTTTATTCTGCTGTTATTAAAATCGTTCGCTAGAATAATAAAAATCCTAATTACTCTCTACTCTAAAGTAATAAAGTAGTAAAGTAAGTTGTAAAGGTAATTGGTTGGGCATCAGCTACATAATGCCGCCTCTATTAGAGAATGTACTTTTTATATTGTAAAGGATGGCGGCAGGAAAAAAAGAGGGTGAGAGAGATTACAGCATTTCTATCTCAGATTGTCGCTCTGTGCGCTCTGTTATCTTTCGTAGCAAGAGTAAGTGCGTTACTTTTGTAATAAGATATTTACTTATTTTCTCTGACTTGCTTTCTTGAAAATTTTTGAAAAAGCAAGGGATCTTTTTAACAAAGCAAGATCCAAAAATCCCTACTTCTTAATTAGCGTTTTATTTGTGAATAATTAAGGCGATAATTGTTTTATGACAGAGACAAAGAGAATATTCTCACTAGCCCTTCATTCTTAGATCGACAGTGGGTGAAAAATTAAAGCCCTAATTAACCTTTTCTAGAGGACGGTGAAGATAAAATGATGAAAGTCGATAACGTAAATTTTCGAATTCGAAAATATTGTCAGCTTGTAACAATACATAATAGGTAGAGTAGTAGTTTATTTAACCCTCTCTCTCGCATAATCGAACTACATATCTTTATAATGGATCGTACTACGAAGAGATTTGTCGGCCCACAGCTAAAGGCTATTCATAGTTTATATTCACTTATCTATATGTAAGCATAAACCATTATTATTATACAAAGGTTATTTTTGCTGATTTCTGATTTCGAATTATAGGAAAATACGAAAGAAAATCTTTAAAAATAAAACAAGTAAGAAAATTATATTCGACTGTGTCGGGAACTTTTATATCCACCAGTTCATGTTTTATTTTTATATATTTTTTTGAGATTCAAAATTTCCACCAAAAAACGCATAGATCGGAGGGAGCCTTACATTGAAAGATGCCTTACAAGAATGGCTTGAGTGTTGGCAATTTTTTGATATTTTTCAAAATTAATTTTTTTTATTTTTTTAAATAATCAAATATTTGCCTTAAGATCTCCTCGCCTATTATTTATTATTCGATTAATTTTCTTTCCATTTCAAGAAATTTTTTGGTAACTATTATAGCTGCGTTGCCCCTTAAGCGACCAAAACCAATTTGTGTTTATGTTTAAGCAAAGTCGGGTGAGCAGTTTGGTTATCGCGAGCAAAACCAATCACGGACTCAACTGATAATTGAATTAAATTCGATGAGGACAAAAAAGATATATGTAAAATAAACTTTTGCTGTTTAGCTACACCTGACAAGCATTTGCTAAAATCTTCTGAAGCAACATTTGAAGGAACACTGATAATTTGAACTTACAGTAATAACGGACTAGAGTTTATTAAGATCATCATATAGCTAATGTTTGTGCAAAGTAAACGAAGCAATCGTCAACTAAACTTAAACTACTACTATTTCTAAACATTTCTATCTAGCTTTAGATGAATCTTTGATTGCTCAACAACAACATTACGACATTATAAAATTCATTCAATATATCGATCGTGTATTGTATCATTTTATATATGAAATCAACAATCAAGGTAACGCTAACAATAATCATTCGATTATCGTCGGCTGTCGGCTGTCGGCTGTCAATCTCTTAATATGGAATATAATTTCAGTTGAAGACGACGATTGAAGATTTCGTGTATAAGAAAAAAAAAAAAAAAAAAACAAACAAAATTAAATTGGCCTTAGATTCTGAACACATACACGTTTTAGCAGCAATTTATAGATAATTGTACAAATTAGAATCCATACGTAAATAATTCCTTTAAATTATCCATAATTCTTGAATCTGTTTAGCAGATTTTGCAACTTAGCTGGCTGAGGATTATAGAAAGACATTTTAATGTCAAGTTTTCATTTCTACTTTTGCGTGTTAAATGAATCGGGAATCTTTGAGGGATTTGTTGTACATTCCAAAAGGAAAAAAGAAGACGAACGAATCAAGTAGGGAAGGAATACAAAAGTCAGGGAATAGAATCGGAAGGAAGAGGGAAAAATTGGAAAGAATTTTATACCTTCGACAAACTTGCCAGTAAATTAGTTTTTTATATTTCGCTACTCGAGCAAGATGGCTGATACCGTTGGGTGTGGCTTATAAATAATTGGTTTTCGCAAGAGAATATTTGAAGCATTTTAAAAAGGCAGGAGAAAGACTCTATCTCAAAATCCCGACAATATGTTATGAAAGGCGAAATAATGAAATACAGCAAATATGGGAAAGTGTCTAGATATCCGAGATGTCAAAAGCTTCTCATAAGCATTGATCACAAATAATGAACGGTAACAGATAGAGTCGTCATACAGGACGAAATGTTATATCAATAATAGGGAAAAACTATTTTTTTTATTTTTTTTTTATGTTTCTTTGCATTAAGGAGATTTGTAGTAATGTTTTCATTATATAACGAAAAAATTTTTATACCTTAACGATAAATCCTATTCAATAAATTGCTCTATTTCCATTAGGAATTGTTGAAAGGGAAAAATCGACCCGTTATACCCGACTACCATTGAAAAAATCAAATTTAATCCACATTTGCGAGAATTGGCTTAAAAATCCATGCAATTGCAACACACGCACTAATGAATCCTTCAGAAATCTTCTTCTTCTAGCAGTTTAAGCCCGATGGCCTAAGCTTTTCCTCAATATTAATTTAACGTAATATATTGCTTTATTAAAACAAACTAGACGCAATAAATAAGTTTCTTTTCTAAGATAGAACCGATAACGTGTATGGCTGGCCAGTGCTCAATTCTTTTTCATTTACTCTAAGAATTTATTTCGCTAGTCTAGAAATAAATTTTCTTTACTTTTTTTTTTTTTTTTTTTTTTTGTTTTATTTTATTGTTTATAAGTCGCTCGATACGCTTAATATGATATAGATTTATATGTCCATGACTGTATATGGCTAAATTGATTTTGTTATTCAAGACTCATTTATTACTCTACGATAATGGATATTCAGGAATCGTCTTAATGCGGATATTGTTTTCCTTGTTCATAACACAATATATATATGTTCATAACATATATATATATATATATATATATATATTAAAGCAATATGTTCTAACATAAAATAAGGTTTTTCTTCGATATTTTATGACATCTTTTATAATTTTCTCTTAATTTTTTTTGCTTTCTTTTCGTTTTTTCCTCAATTAATTTTTAAAAACGATTTTATGATGATTTTCCGTTTTCATCTCTTTACATTAAATCATGTTATCGGTCACTTTAATAAGTAAATAAACCGAAAAAGCTGACATTTATGATTTTCATTTACGGCACACGCACACACCGGGTGATAAAAGAAGAGGAAGAAGAAGAAAAAAAGAAAAAAAAATGAAAAGAAGGACAAAAGATATTCATTAAAAATGCCAAGCACATGACATCAGTTAAACGTTCTCTCATATGTTTCCAGTAATAATCGTATAAAATTACATATGTGCGATACGGATGAGTAAGAAAAAACGCAGACAATAGAGAAGAAGATATGGCGGCCGGCAGGCTTTTCTTGTTATAAATTTTTGCTCAAGTAGGCCAAAATGAAATGATTACAACAGTTTTAGTGGCTCAGCCATGTAAATGAATTGAGATGAGACAAAAAAAGACGACATATTGCCGCACGATGAAATCTTTTTTTGAATTCATTTGTCAATTTCATCCATCGTCAATGCATAGCACACAAACAATACCATATCCAGATCGATGATTAAGGGACATAGAAAAATTGCTCTTCTTCCGCCCATTGGAATTACTGGAATATGTATATTAACCTACCGCATACCAGCATACCGTATATCGTGTCATGAAGGCTTATCGCGATATCACGTCTACTGGGATGGGGGGTGAATAAAAATACTGCAAAAAAAAAAACAAAAAATTCCGATAATCTTACTACTTCTAGTTTAGAGCTAAATTTTCCCAAAACATTGTTATAAGGGAAGACATTAAGCAGATGATGAGTTGCTTGATAAGTACATATTAGCCAATGTAAAATATAATTTTAGTGTACCGGATTTTAAAAGCGCATTATATGTAAAATTTTACACTAATTGTGAAAGAATGACGCAAAAAACATCAGACACTTTAAGTATTGAAGAGATTACGATTTTGGAATGAATTTCAGATGAAAAAATCCCCATTTTATCCATAATTTCCATTTACTGCGTTCTACACGTATACACGTTTAACGTATCTTTAAGAACAACAAAAATTACATATAGCTTGGGGAGAATAATTAAGATTCATGTCCCAGGAAAACATACGACATTCACTTTTTTTTATACCCATCACTGTAAGATGATAACGTATGTAACACGCAAAAGGAAATTTCAGAGACCGCATAAAGTATATATAATTTTGATCAGCGTGAAATTCTGACTTGATTTAGTCATGTCTGTCCGTCTGTGTCTCTGTATGATATGTGTTGTTAGCACTCTGCTGGTCGCAAAAATGAAGATGTCGTCTTTAAAATTTCGTGGAAACATTGCAAGTTTCTGCAGGCACGTTGGTATTAAAAACGGGCCAAATCGGTGGGAGCGGAAGCTCCAGCGCAGTGGAATGTAAACTGAACGCAACTCAATTTATTTTTTTAACAAAAATTTTTCGATTTTTGCTCGTTACTCCGAAATTATAAAAGCTAGAAGTCTGAAATTTTCCACATTCACTTTGCGAAGCACTGTACCCCCTACGCGCAAAAATGGAAAAAATCCGGCATACGCACACAATATTACAAGTAATTTAATTTCGTTTTCTTCACTTTTTTGAGGTTCTATGCTTATTTATTATAAGGCAAACAAGACCGAATTTTTAAAACTAGTTTGTACACTTCCTAAATGAATGATGATATATTATCGGCCTAAAAATGGGTTAATTTTAAAATGAATATGGCAAACACCGCGAGCACATTTTTCTTGATACCATTAGCGATATGGGTATCAAATAAAATAATGCGAAGAACATAGTGCTGGGTAGTGCTGGGTGAGGTTCTGCTCCGCCGGATATAACTTTCTTGTTGCTTGTTTTTTTATAGTATAGACAAGCACTCAAGAAAACGATGCGCAACAAAAATGAGTACGAGAAGAGAAAAAAATGAAAAGCAACGGCTGTGCGCCTAAGTTGGTATGACTTAGCACTCACTATAGACCAGGAACACTACACAGCTACTCATGTCAAGTTTATGCGAATATGTACAACACCCAAGAGGAAAGGAAAGGAAACGAAAAAGAGAGGATAAATTGGTTAAGAACCATTTCCTGAATCGATTTCAGCATGTCTGTTCGTCTGCCCGTCCGATTTGTTACGTTGACATGTTTTATCTCAAGGATGGAGGCTGTTGAAAATTGATCGGATCGGCTCGGTTCAACACTTTCAAAAAGTCGTTAAAAGATAAAAATTTGTATTTCTCGACCAAGGTTGCAAAGTGCAAAATTGTGTTTCAAAAGTGTGCATGATTATGCAAAAATTGGAGAGAAAAGCACAATTTATTGAAGCAATGAGCTTCCATTTTTAGTATTTAGGGACAAGGATAAGTGATAAATCGTATAAAGGCGTAAGACGTGGAAAATATGTAATGCTCGTTCTTGTTCGGCTATAAATGTTTGCTTTTTTTTTTCTTTTTTTTTTATACCTGCCGTATGAGTGACTAGTTTAAATCACTTTGAAAGTAAAAAGTGGTAATTAACTTACAGTTGTCGTAGGGAGGACAGTCGCTCGATCAAAACTATTTTAACAGAAATTTCTCCTCCTCGCCTTAGGAAATGTTTGTAGACAACTTTACGACACATGTCTCTAATAGCCTTCAAGTCAGATAGTTTTCTATATTTTCAACGGAAATTGTTAGTATTTTGTGCTGAGTTTGAAAGTTCTAATGTTTCGGTTATTACCGCGTTCGGTTGTATGCGAATCCTATCTATTTTTAAATTGGATCTATATCCGTTTACTAATGACATATTTGCTACTCAGGACAAATCACGGACAACCTAATGGATAGACTAATGTGATTAAACGAACTTAGAATTTAAATCTAATCAAAATTATAAGCAAGATATACTTTACATAATCTGTAAAGCCTGTGTCGAGGCGTTACAAGGTGAATTATAAAATTCTTCAGTGATGCATAGGAATACGGGATTCGAGTGCACACTATGCTAAAATCCATGTAATAATTGAATGCTGAACCCCATCACCTACTTAGTTTGTTTTATGAGTCCATTATCACACTTAAGAAAAGATCTCCATCGTAAGATGTGCACGTAAAGCTTTAGCGCTTAAACGAGGTCGGGTCAAAGCAGACGCATAGGACACTCGATTTTAGATAATCTTTGACATCTTCGGCAAAGATCATTGAAGGCATGCCCGACGTCATAACGACTTGGAAAAACTTTAGTGTCTTATTACAATCGATGTATCATTTCATTCGAATAAAAAATTAAAGCAGCGCAAAACTATTTTATAGAATTATGTGCAGCTAATGTAATTCGCATCTGGCTGTGTACTATGATAGTTGAAGTAATGATTTAGGTTTGAAAGAAACTTAACAAAGTATAAATATTTTTATTGTTTTCTTGTCTTCTTGTACTTAAAATCTTAAGAAAACAAAGCCGAAAAAAAAAAAAAATGGCCGACGATTCTACCCACACGAAAATGACTAAATTACATGTTGTTGGCAACTGTTGAACTCATATATCATTTTTAAGCTAACAATATCAACAATTAATAATAATTTAAAAGATAATTAAAAGTTTCGCATAGACACACACACAACTACATAAAGAACGCCCACTTAAAAGTATTGTAACTTTGATGATAGTAGTAGTGCTCGGGTGCTGGTAAAGGGTTTGCGATACGGTATTATGCACAAGTATAATAAGGATACACGTATACATATACATATACATACAACCATCCATATATATGTATATATAAGCTCTTGTGGTGAAAAGTTTATTATTTATACCAAGTTAGAGAAATTCAGTCATATATATGTATGTACTAACACATATATGTGTAGGATGAACCCTTACACAAGGGTACATACGTAATATGCATGTTTGCATTTGTATTGATTTCTTTAAGTAGTTTAACATAAATAAAATTTCCGTTATACTATAAATAGGAAATATATATACATATATATATCTATATATATATATATATATATATATATATATATATATATATGTATTTATACAGACACAGTATTCTTTGTACTTTTACTCATAATTTGCATCTAATGTCTGATTACGCATTTTTAGCACAAAATATTTTCTTTTTGTTTTTTTAGATACTTAAACACGTACAACCCACTTGAGTGTGAAATTCAAGTTTCGTATGCACACATGTATGCGTTGAGGATGTGTAAAATTTACGTATATTAACTTGCTGTGAAAATTTTTAAATAAAACTTTTCTTTTAATAACATGTATGTACAAAGAATCAAGTGAAGATAGAGTACATGTGTATATAAAATTTTGAAATTTCTCTCTTCCTTTATAGATTTATATATTTTTAAAATTTTTTTATGGCCAAGTCGATCCCCTCCTTCAACCTTGGTATTATATTTCGCATTGACTTCATTTACATATAATTACGCAAGATTTTGCAGACCTCGCGATTCCATGCTTTATAAGGTAGGGAGGGCCGAGATCATGCGGCGAACAGATGAACAAAACGGGGCTAAACGATTTAAAATTTGACCTTAACTAACAAAAAATAAGTGAATATATTAATAAAGAAAAGTTAGACGAACCATAATCGTACAAGGTTCTGTTTCAATATTGTTTGTGCGAGCTGTTTAACAATGTTTTCTACAGAAAGGCGAATAGCTCCGTCTATTCGAGTCCCTTATGTAGAAATGTCTGAGGAATATCATTACACTTCCATTTCCTGATAATAGTCGGACATCAACCCCAAATCTTATCCTAACCAAAATGATATTCACCTCTGCAAGAATTCGTCAAGGGAGAGATTGCAAACACAATGATATGGCTAATATACTTTTAAACATTACTGGATTACTTTACTACATTCATCGAGCTAAAAAGAAAGAACAAAAACAAGTTCGAATTGAAAAATTGTACAGATGACCAATGCATTATAACCCGCATTTACAATTAATTAAAAGTTGTCGGTATACAAAAAGACTATTAAATGAACGCAGTCCGCTCGTTACGGATGTGCAACAATACGTGGATATATTGTTTGGATTATTGTACTATGTACTAGCGCACACGTGCATAGATTACTGTACATATAATTGTAGGCAATGACATTAGCCTTTTTACAGTTAATTACTCTCTGCATATGCGAAACTCTAACGAGCGAAAATCTTACGATTTTAATTTCGATATAAAAAGAAGCGATAAGTGAGCTAACTTTACTCAATCTCCTTAGACTTATGCCCAAAAAATTTTCAGTGTGAGACATAGGTGTCGGTTGAAAGTTTGAAATCCTAGTATGAGCAGACTCAGATGACTCAAAAGACTATTCTGAATTAATAAAATGAAGATAGGAAATCAAATACTATGAAATTCAAAATACCTATAAGTCTAGCCGGTGGCTCCAGACTTCTTTTGCTGATCTATCTGATTATCATTTAAATAATATACCAAATTGAACTAAAATATTCGTTGCTTTTTTTTGCTTTTTTAAGATTACGGTTAAATATTTTCGATGGTCACGGAACATGTGGCACCATGTTGTTAATGAGAAAAATACACCGAATAATATCGTATCGTGTTCAGTTGCCCAAATATTAATCGTCTAGTAAATGTAGCGTTTTCAATAGTTTCCTTTTTTCAAGTTTTTTATTTTTTTAAGTAAAATAATTAAAAATATGTTTTTTTTTTTTGTTTTTTTTACTTACGTTAGTAAATGTTTGTGATCGCTGCGACGTCAATTGTGGCGGCATTGCTGGTCTCATACTACCTTGCGGTGGTGCTATTTGTGTTATGGACGCTGCCGAAATGAAACGTGGTTGATGCATCATTTTTAATCGTATCTGAAATTTAATATTTTTCAAAGTAAAAAATAATCTCAATTTTCAAAAATTACATTTCCAAAAGTCTGCATTCGACATACATTCTAATACTTCCTTGAATCAATTAAAAATGATTTTCATGTTCGAACTTACGAAACTTTAGTACAAGGAGAATGCATTCAATTCAAAGCTTGTAAGTACAATTCCGTAGAGAGTGGAAAGTTGACATGTTATTAGTAGTAAGGAATAGCGTCACTATAAATTTTCCATAAAAATATTTGTTTTATTGCCTTAATCGATGCTTTGAATCTTCTACAGAATGTGCAAAAAAAATCATTTTCCGAATGAAATTTCGGTCTCTTTTCAAAGCGTCGCGAAATGACTTTCACGCTTGGCCTGACGTTAGAGCCTAGTGTTTTAACTATCGCCTTCCAACTTTACTAACACACTAGCAAATATCATTGAACACTATTCACACAGTGTTAATTTGAAAACAGTTCGAAACAGAGGTACGTTATTGTAGCTCCATCAAAACGATAATGACGAGCAGATACGAGACAGAGAACAATTCAAAAGTTTTCGAACCTTTTGCGAGGAGGGCAGTTCTTCGTGTTTGTTTATGAATTCAACTATAGAAATATAAATTTTCTTGCCGCTCTGTCTGCCATTTCACAACATTTAAAGCGACGATATTTTCTTCGAAGGGCACCGAAAAAGCGCCAAAGGAGGACAATGAGAAAGAATATTTGGACATGAAAGGGCGCTGGGAGGATTGTAGCTTTATGAAAAAATATGCCTATAACAAAGTTCGAAAAATTTTTTCCCGTTTTCTCGAAACACGATTATTTTATTTAAAACGTCACACAGCATAACTACAACAATTTTGATCTTTTCGATCGAATTTTTTACATAGTAAGCAAAATAACATTCTCTAATTGAAGTTGCAGGTTATTTTCGATAAGTTAATGTAAGCATTAGTTGTTAACAAAAAATTATACTTTTTGGTCAAAAACAGAACTCTCTGTCCATAGGCAAACCGATTAAATTCAGTTCTTTTAATTCAAAATTGCAACAGTGCCACTCCTTGCCGCAGAGCTCCCGCCAATAGAGATTGACCCCATTTTTACAAATTTCTAATATTTTCCAAAAATAATTCTGCTTTTTAATGGCTAAAGCTTTCGAATATTACTCAATTACCTCTCCTGCCATCCAAAGAAAAATTGGCCGGAAAACTTTTTTGCTTAGACTCTTACAGCGGGATTATCTTTAGGTAAATTCAGAGGTTCAAACCAATCATCAAGTGTAGAGCATGTATTTACTCTTAGAGAATGCTAAAGGGCCCGTCAGAGTGACGAAGATACATTAGATGTATGTGGTTTATCAAGTGATCTTATGTGTCACTATGCACCGTAGAACCACATTCTATTTCGACCAGATGTGCGTCTGTGTTTCGTGCAATATACAGTCAAGATTCTTTATCGAATGCAACAGATTGTTGATGGTTCGCTTGATTCACTTGATTCGCTTCTAGAAATTTCGACTGACTGACCATTAGAAAAATGATTAAAATTTTATAAAAAAAAATTGAAAAAAGCTAGAAAAGTCGGCACGACTATGAACGCCTATGAACTTGGTATAGAATCAAATAAAGGTCGCGAAGAAAGACCATGTCTAGATACCATAAAAGTTGCCAATGAAAATTCTCACACTAGAAAATCGGTACGTTTCTAAAACGAATTGTAACTGGCGATTAAAAGAAGGTAAAAGCCGAAAATGCTGCTCCAAATCGATCTTGATTAAGCTAAGATAAGGTTATGCTATATGCATGATGGGACTGAACGGTCGAAAGTCGGGTCAAACGATTGATACTAATTTCTATAGTCAGTAATTATCCAAATTGCTAGAAGCGATTCCCAAAGCGCGGCTGCAATCAATTTCTCTCAGCATATGGTATTGCTGAAAGAGGACCTGATGTTTTAAGGGTGTCCAGAAAAGTGCTCAATTTGTTTTTGAGTGTTGTCATAAAAATGGAAGCCTTATTAGCGCCAATCAAAAGCTATTAGTTCTGGCGAACGTCGTCCATCTGGTTTAACGATTTTAAAGTTCTCTGGCGGAGTTATTCAATATGAAATCAACGATCGCCATACTGAAAAGACAACCTAAGATGTCTTTTCGCATATTAAAGGTGCAATTGCGTCAGTTGTTGTTTCAGTGGTTCGTTGGGCAACAAATTTCATATATTGGAGCCGATCATATCACATTTCATTTCTTAAAAGATATTAAGCGTTTACTGTCGAGTTTAAGAGGACAATAGCGCGGTTTTTTTTGCGCGTCCGATATTGTATCACCTACATTTCTCATCATCCAAGATTCACCCGTCAAGATTCTGCAACTCTTTGCGTGTTAGTCATTTTTTTGCCATACAACTCGATTTATTCACAGCTCCCCCAAAAACTATATACCAAAATGTACATATTTTAACGGGAAAAGTTTCGTTACTGCATAAAGCTTAAATGAGGAGTTAAGTGCTAATATAGCACTTTATGGGTAGGTCTACGGGGCATGTGGCCCCATGTTTGTGCCTGTGGAGTTTTAACTACCCAGTACCAGCTTTGTGTTTTGTATTAATTGGTTACTACCCACTATTTTTCGATTGAATGAACAAAAGTTGTCGTCCAAATGTTTGATTGATATGTTCTATACTACGTGTGACTTATTGGTTTTCACATTTTTAATAAATATACGAACACTTTTTAAAAATGTTTAAAACTACTACATTCCCCAAAATTAATGTAGAGAGTTGATATTTAATGCATTTGCCGCTTAATCGATCAAATAGGCAGAGCTAAGTTGAAATTGAAGGAGCATTTAAAATAAATCGCATTTTATTTATTTTTATTATATTTTTTTTTTGTGATTCTATAACGGAAAAGAAAAAGACTTATCGCTCCAAATATTCGTCGATCGAAAATGGTCACAGTCGATATAGTAGGACGAATACAATTAAGGCCTTTCTAGATGTTTGAAGTTGTGGTTATAATTTGGAAGAGTCGAAGCACTGCACCCGGAATCGATGCACTCAATCTTTCGGTTAAATGTTAGATATTCTAACTATATAGACTATGCAGTAGTCTTACTTTACTGCCTTTGCTGGTAAAGCAAAGTGACGGCCTCCATACATAATACTTACCTTAGCAAACTGCAACTTCGAATATCGTACGTAAGCCTTTATGACTTTAAATAATAATTAACTCTTCTAGACCGTATAAGGCTTCAATACGTTTCATACATATAAACACACAGGCACACACATGCACGTTCACCTATTCCTACTTTACGATTTTCGATTTGATTTTATACTTAGCTTTTTGTTTGTTTACATACCGCAATCTTAGGTATTGGGCAAGAAAATGTCAAACGTAAAAATAAACCGGCGACAACTGCATTTATAAGAAGGAGAGAATTCGCATATGAAACGATGAGCAAATGTTAATGTAAAAAGCACTCTCGACAAATGATGAGAGAGAAATTACTACGGGCGTTGCTTTTTTTTTTTTTTTTTGTTTTTGATTAACAATTTGTTTGCTTTTTTTTTTTATGTTTCTAATGCAGGTGATTTTGTTTTGGTATTCGAGTTATTAGAAATTCATTTATTTTTCGTTTTGCTTTATATGGATATGATGATAATAAGTTAGGCCATATGTACATATGTAAAAAATAAACATTCGTGTAGTTTCTGCACTATCGGGGAAGCTTTTATTTCGTTTTGTTTTTTTTTTTTTTTTGTTTTTTGATTTACATTCATATAGATGCGAAAAACTTTCACTTTTTTCGACTTTCCTTTTTTTGTTTCTTCTCTAAGCAACAGAAAAAAGGCACTCTAGACAGTCTATTAAGAATTGGTATTAGTGTTTGATAATGATTGTGATAATTTTAACACGATTTTCGTTAATTTTGAGCATAATTTTCTTTTTTAATTTATTTTGTTAATACTTTTTTTTGTTTTTTATTTATTTATATTTACTGTTCTTTTATTGATTTTGACTAAGTGTAAAAATCTGGCAACTTTGGCTTGGTTGATATGTCAGCACGCACAGCTGAGGACAATAGCAGTAACACAGCCGCATCAACAAATTCATATAAACAAACACTGAGAAAATAACAAAAAAAAGAAATTATATCACGAAGGTGTGAACAGCGGCATAACGATTTGTCAGCAGGCCTCTAAATAGGCGTAAAATCTCAAAAGATGTTTGAATTTTCTTTAAATAATCTATTAAAGATTTTATGAAATATGTCCATTAATTTGTATTTGCATTTAAATAACACAAGTTTTTCTTCCGCAAAATATTTTAACTTAAAATGTCCGCTTAAAGAAGCTTTTATTATTAATTATTTCTTTCACACAAAGCAATAATTGATTTCCACACTTGCATAATTACAATTTGCGCATCCCATGTGTTTATTTTTCTCCTTGTCGGATGTCTCGCCGTCCGCGAACAATATGTATATACAAAAAAAAAAAAAAAAAAAAAAAAACCACACACATACAAAACACTTGACAGTATTTGTTTCTGTACGGTCTACACCTGACGCTTGTGTGCTTCAGTTTTGTTTTTGCTACAAATACACAAATATATATAAACATATGTATATATATATATATATATATATATATATATATATATATATGTATAAATATATATATATGCAAAGGCGTATATACGTTTTCTGCTTTTCTCCCTATATTGCTTTTTTATTGTCGCTTTTTCTTATTTTAGATTTTCCACGACACGCTATATTAAAGTCTTATTAAGTCTTACATTTCTAATAAATTTGTGAAACGAGTGTTTCTCATAAAAAAAAACTTTTAATTTCTTTTTTAACAATTTAGCAAAAATATATATTTAATGTTGTAGTATTCTTATTATTATTATTATTATTATTATTAATTGCCAGAAAAAACTTTGGCAAAAATCACGAACACGACAAGAAACGATGATAGTGGCGCAACAGAAAAGACGAAAACTCATCATCCAATGGTAAAGATCTCGTGTTTTTTTTTTTTTGCAGGAAAAAGCAATCGCAACGCTATGTAATAATTACTGTAAAGAGTAAGAGAATGTGTTTGTTCGCACATTTAGGTAACATAACAGAAAGAAATAAAAACAAAACACTTATACGGTTACGGTAGCAATATAGAACACATGCGCTCTTTATTTGAATTATGTGGGTTTTGTTTTTTATATTACTTGTTTATGCATGTTACGAGATTGAAAATTAAAGAGAGAGCCGTCGCGAAGCAGTACAGGAAATAATAGTACACATGTTTCTCTCACTTTTGCTTTTGTTTTTTTTGTTTTGTTTTTCGCATAACATACGTCGACTATTGCAGCAGGGTAACGTGTACTCAACTATTCATACCGTAGCGTTAGAATAAAGAACTTTCCTCAAATTAAACAATACATTATGTTATATGTCTCATATAGCTGCACATACATTTAGTTGATGCACATACTTATAACTACGCTTAAGATTGCCTTGAAATGTTTTTGTATGCTTAATATCTTCTGTTAAAACATAATAGCTGATGTTCTCTTTTAAAGACGAGTTTACAGATTCGGTTAAATATGTTTGCGCTTATGTTAAATTAACTTGCACTATGTGTCTAAAAATAATATAAAGAGAAAATCTTTCAATATCAGGGGGTTAATAATTCAATGAATCGATTTTGCTGGTGATTTACATTGACATACCAGGTTTTTTTTCTTTTCTTTATTTGAAGTAGACGTAGAACAATAATTATAATATTTAATTTTCAAAAAGCATCGGATGCAGATCAAGTCCACTAAAGCGTTCTACCAGCAAGCGAACACTTGCATAAATAACTTGCTGACATGTTTGCACCTGTCTTTTTATAATATTTGGTCGTTACATAAAATTTTCACAACCGTTTTGCCAATTATAGGGCTCAATATTTTTTTGACAAAAAGAGATTTCCATGAGATATGTGCATTTATTTATTTACTTGTATCGATTTTGAATACCTCTTGTAGTATTTATTTACGCATTTCCCTTCTTGCGTACATAACATAACAAAGGAAGGCGTGATTTCGAAGAAAAAAATGCAATTTTCCTGAAAGTAGAGCCCTTGGTCAGGTGATTAGAACCCGACGCAAACACTCGCCAATTTTAGAAGATAACCAAACATTTTTTTTCTTTTTTTTTTTTTTCTTGTGGCCCACACCTGTTTTTGTTACCTGTACTCCATTTTAATGTGTTTTTACGCATCTCAAAGGCAAATGGTGAAAATCGTCTTGAGAAGAATGTACCTCCTGAAACATGGAATTGTAGAACAACATGACCAATTTTATTTCAAGTCAAGGCAAAATTGCTTTCATTTTTGAAATCATTAAGAATTGAATGGAGTCGAGCAACGTCCGCGCTAGATTAGTTGATTAAAATGAATAGTAGTTTGAAGATCACTTACAGCAAACATGTTAGATAGAGCATTATCGTTGGTAAGCAAAGTTCACATTACATTTATACTTTATGTCATAGATCAAACATTCTCTACTCCTCTACTTTACAAACAGTGTTTCTATTCTTCTGAACATGCGTTTTAGTTTCATTTAATTTAATATGCAAGCGACAGTCAAAATTGAGCATCGTATTAGGAGACTCCGTAATCAAGTCTATGATTGATAATAGGAAAGGAAATTACTAATTAAATCAAATTTAGTAAGTGTTCTCGTTTCGAGAATTTCGAATAACACACAAGATTTATTTTAATTTTTGTGAAAGGCTTAACGAAGATAATCCAGACGACCACATTAAAAAAACGATTGAAAATTGTACCATTGCTTTAACTTTTACCAAATTATGAGAAGCACTTTTGATTTGTTTGCTTACCTTTTTACGATTGTTCTGAACGTTATCCAAAAATGAAAACTCTTTCAAATTTGTTTTTCTTCGTTTCCCTTCAGTACTTTAAAAATATTTCAAATTTCTCCGTGCTTTTATTTGCTTTATTTTCTCATGTTTTTGTTTTTTGTTTTTTTTTTTGTTTTTTTTTTCTTCATTTTCAACTTCTATTCAAAATAACACATTCTTCGCACACAAATATTTTCCTTTCCTTTTCCCGCCAGTTTCTTCGCCTACTTCTTATACTAATTTCTTTTCATTACTACTACTAATGCGGTTTTCCATTTGTTTTATTTTTTTTTTTTTTTTTTTTTTTTTTTTCGTTTCAATTACTTGAAGAACTACTGGTTATTTTCTTTTTTTTGATTTTTTTTTTTTTTTTGCTTTGTTTATGGAAAATTTTACAAAAATAGTTTTAATAGAGTTTATAGAAAAAAAGAAAAAAATCTTTATGTATATAAGTATGTATATATAATAAACAATCTACATTTGGAATCCCAACTACATTTAATAATAATAATAATTAAATAAAAAAAAAAAAATGTTGGCTTCTTAAAGAAAGCACATGTTTTCTTAAATTTTTCTTTTTTGTTTTTCAAATTTCTTAAATCTTAAGTGTAGCTTAAAATTTTATAAAAAACACTTTCTTTGTCTTTAAACTACGATGCCATCACTTAAACGATCAGCAAATACAAAGAGGTTTCTGTTACTTAGCCTTTTTGTTTCTGTTGTTGTTATTTTTGTTGTGGTTTCCATTTATTAATCTTGAGATAGTCTGTGATCTCAATCGTATCGAAAATGTTGGTTGGGTTATCATGCTATTATCATCAAGCTACACACACACACATATACACTGACAATTTAAAAGCGTTGCCATAGATTATTTGGCTTGCAGTGGAAAAAAAAAAACCAAAAAAATTATTCTGTTTTTTTTTTTTTTTTTTTTTTTTTTTTTTTTGTTAAAAAAAAAAATTTTTTTAAAAAAAAAGCCAAAAACAATCAAAGTCTTCCATTCCAACGTTTCTATTGCACGGATGTTACATAGACATCGTTGGTTGGCTCTTCAAAAGCGCAAAGATTTCTCTTCTCTTCAGTTCTCAGCTTCTCATTATTCTTCTTTCTTGTTTCGCAATTAAGCAATAATTGAAGAAACCGAAATTCATTTTTTAAGCTTTTGAGAGAGAAGGGTTGCATACTAAGAAATTGAAAGTAGAAAAAAAAGAAAGAAAAAATTATTCAAAACGAGTGTAATTCAATTCTGTTCAGCGTTATTCGGAAACTCCGCCACTCTCTCTCTCTCTCTCTCTTTAAGCCAAACCTACAAGCTTCGTAACGGTACAAAATGTAAAGTACCGAAGCCAGTTGATAGTTGACCGATCTAAGAACGCTCAAGAAGAGCAGTATAGTTATGCTTGAAACGCGAATCAAAGCTTCGACGGAAAATTAATCTTTACAATATTCACCTTATTCTAGAAACTGTTTTACTTAGGAGCCAAAGGATGCAAGAACTGCGTATAGGCGTTGCCGTTGGGTGAGGCTGCAGTGCTTAAACTTTGATCTGTAGAATCTGTTAAAGGTATAGTGGGTATAATAGGTGGAGCTGGAGCGTAATAAGGATATGTGGGACTTATATACTAGAAAGAAAAACGAAATAAGTAAAAAAGATCATAAAAAATTGTTATTCATTCCAATTTATAAGACAATTTTTAATTGAACTACCTGTAAAGGACCCATTGGCGGAAACATGGCACCATATGGCATAACCGGTTCCGAGCCATTTAAATAAAAATTTTGTGCCTGCAATGGATTAACCATATCAGCTGGCTTATATGGTGACATACTCAAATGTTGAGGCGACGATGCCAATTGTAAATACTTGAAAAGATAGGGGATAAGAAAGAAAGAAATAAAGAAAGAAAAGAACAACAACATCACACTGCCCCACAAAATATCCATATTGTAGTTTCCTATAGCAGCCGATAACAAACCTGATTTTCAAAGCCCGTAGTAGTCGGTTGAGTGGTTGTCATCATATAGCCGGGTATCCAAGGTGAACTGGCCAGTGGATAGCTACCTATTTGGGGTGTACCAAATCGTGTATATGCTGTAGTAGTTGTTGTACCATTTTGTTGTGACCCTGGATCAGGGGTAACCGCTATACTTTCCATACCTGTAGCCGTCGAGATATCCAAACGGGACCGAGCATTCGGATCACGTGATTTCAGTAAATTCTTTTTTGCTGACGAACAGCTATCGGCAAATTTCACCGCCAGCGGTTCATTCGCTCCCGGTATTGTAGTACCATGTAAAATCTGTATAATCTGTTCACATTTCTCGCGGCTTTCCATACGCGCAAAACCCACTCCTAAATTAAATTAAGCTCAATTATGTTAAATTCCAATCGTACGTAATATCCATATCCGTATATGACTTCTTTCTGCATATTACGTACCTCTTGAATTCATTTGAGCATCAAATAATATTTTTGTAGACACCACATGTCCATATTTTGATAACATTTTCTCTAAATCAGTCTCTTTAAAGTATGGCGGCAAATTTGTAATATACAAATTGGTTGGATCCTGTTCTTGTTGCTGTCCAATTCATCCAATTGACGTGAAAGCACAGTTGTAACCGGATGTGTACGTATTTATATATGTATATATGTATATATATATATATATATGTATATATGTATATATATATATATATATATATATATATACGTGTACGTGCGTGTACGTATATGTATGTGTATGTGCGCATGTGTGAGTAGAGATTTATATGTTGCCGCGTGAATGTGTATGAGAGCATATGTGCAGAAAATATGTTGGAAAATATTAATAAACTTTTTTTGGATCGTATTAAGGTTTAGCGTAATATATATCTTCACTACTTTTACATTGTTTTTAATGGCTTTTACAAAGTTTTTTATTTTATTTCTAAAGGCCGGTCCATGTCTATTCTATGTATTTTGAAACGCTACCTATTTTAAAAAAAAGTCAACAAAAATGTTAATAACATAACTAAACAATACTCTACTATATTAAGATAAGCTAATTATGGAAAATAAAATTGAAAATAAGTTAATTATTATTTATTAACTATAATATTATATTATAATGTTATATATTGAAAGGAAATTCTATCTAATATTTCTTAATAAAAAGAACAACTAAATTTTCTATATAAATTTTTTTTTTTTTTTTTTTGATTATATTATATGTATTTCATTTATATTATAATTATTATTTTTATTATTTTTATTATTATTATTATTACTATTATACTTTGACTTTTTGGGCTTCTTTCAGAGTTCTAACTACAAACGCGACCTTGAGGGATAGATCAATAAACGAACAGAATATACTGCTCTCAAAAAATGCAGTAACAGTCGATTGTCAGAAAATGCTAACGTTTATATATATTTATTAAGAAAGTGTCCAACGTACACAACGTATTTATACTCTTAAGTCAAATCTGATCCGGGACAAGTTCGATCTTTAGTATATTAGTTATGTATACGATTTCCCCCCAAAATAATATTGTATTTCTGCACGTCGCGTCCGTATAAGAATTACGGACGACATGTAAGTACCCAATTGGCTTGCAGTTTGCAGTTTCATTCCCTTTGTTTGCTTGATTATGTTTTTAAGTTTTGACGGCAATTGGATCTAATCGTCGGCGTCGACCATTGCATCATATGCTCGATGTTGTATTAGGGCCTATAGTGGGTGGGCAGTTTTGCAAGCAAATTTATCATGGCATTGAACGTAATACCGCAGCCAAGGTAATTCAATCTTCTTGCAATCTATTTGTTATTGACAAATTAATTTTCAAATATTATTTCTAACTATGACGCAGACATGTGTATATATGCGTATACATAACTAGATATAAAACTTTATATATAAATGTACATATGTATTGTCGTCGTTCAACGCATAATGAAAAGAGAATTACTTTAAATGCTTACACATATATATACATATAAATAGCTATAGAAATAAGAAATTCTAAGTAATATCTACTACATTAGAAAAGTTTCCACAATAAACAAAAAAAAAAAAAAAAAAAAAAAAAAAATTAATAAGAAACCTAGAATAGGAAATAAATAAACTTGTATATTATTCACCTTGTGACGAATCTTCGATAGCCACCACCTAAGGTATATGTTTTCGTTTAGATGCCTTAGCGTCTACAGTTTGGCCAAAAAAAAAAACATTGCGGCTGTCGATTTTCTTTCAAGTCTTCAATCATAATACGTGTTTATATGTGTGTGTGTGGGTGTGTGCGTGTGTGTGTGTATGTACGAATTCTATCCGTTTGTAAACTTTTACATTTTTTTTCGAGCTAAATAAAATGTAGAAAACACACGGGTCGAATAATTGTCTCTATTCGTAAAATGTTATAAATGTCAATGAAGTAACGGACAAGCGGACATCGCGAAATTAACTCAGAATGCTTCATATTTTGATTCTGCTGCTGAATTATTGAATATGATATATAAAAAATAAAATAATAATAATAATAATAATAATTATACAATTAGTATATGTCCGTCCTTAGTGGTGGATATAATATGGATTCTACGAAAGTGGTGTTCACAGATCTACATAAAGTTGAATATTAAAGAATACCTGATCAAATCTTTCTTAAACAAAATAATTTTTAACATTAGAATCTGTATTCCTGTCCAGTTTCGCAATCGGTCTTCTGGGCTCAAATATATTTATCAAAGGATTTAATGATTTTTTGTTGTTTTAAATTTGTTTCTCTTCTCCTTTTTCTCCCTTTTTTTTTAAATTTTTGTTTTTCATTTTACTTTTTCTACCAATTTCAAGATGTAACTATATGTACATACATATATATATATATATATATATAAATATATAGTATATATTTATATGTCCTTTGTGTAAGTGTGTGTATATATACGTATATATAATTATATACTTGCATGCAAACTCAAAAACTCAAAACGTACAATGGCCGGCCTAAGTAGCACCCAAACACCCACTTTTGCCATTTGTGCTTTAATGCCTTTAGCCTGCAAGGCTTTAACAGCATTGTCAGCATATGCTGGTGTCTCAAAATCTACGAAACCATAACCTGTAACGAACATGTGTAATTATGGAAAAGCACAAGATGAACAACAAACAAAACGAGAAGAAGAAAAAAAAAAATAAAAGAGAAAGAGACAATATATGAAGTAAAATAGAAAATCTGTTTGTCGCACAAATATATATGAAAATTTTGAGAATGTAAAAATTCAAATGAAAAATAAATTGTTAACTGAAAAAAAAGTTATAATTTCTCTTTAATTGATGGGAGGGATTGTTGATGATAATTATGTTAAAGACCAATAAATCGGAACAAGATAGATTGGAAGGAGAACTAAGCAGGCGAATATCTCTCATAATATTCCCTTAATTCATTTACGTACCTTTACATTTTTTTGTGGTTTTATCAAATATAGCTTTGGCTGATATAATGTTACCGTATCTGTAAAATAAAAAGAGATAAAAGATGTA